CTTTTAGTCTTAGTATAATGTTTTCCAAAGTTGTCATAAAACGATAATCAATTTATTATGAATCGATATTTTACTAGTGTCGAAAAAATCAGACTTTATGGTGGTGAGAGGTCTAATGTGATGATTATTTTTAGAAGAATCACATGTCATTTAGTCTTTCATTTCTAATTTTGTTTTGGTTTTATTTTTTTTCTTTTTCTGCTCAACCACTATAAACGATATATCAGAGTTATATATATATATATATATATATATATATATATATATATATATATATATATATACACTAGCATAATATGATATATAAAAATGAGGTTCTAGAAATCTGGAGGCCCTGAAACATCATCCAAGTTGCCCCATTCATTGGCACGACCCTGCATCATCGAAACAATTGTTATCTAAAAAATAGATGTTCGAGATGGATTGTCAAGAGGACGAAGTAAAATTAATAGAAATCGATGATTATGGTCTAACTAAATGGATAGCCTAAAACTAAATCGAGCGGGACAACTCGAAGACAAACAAACATAGGTGAATTGTGACATTGTGTTTTAGGTCTTGACACATATATTCGTACCTTATAACTTTTTTCTATCATGTAAAGATATAGACTATTTGGGTGTGATGATAATTCATCTACGTACCTTATAATTTTTTCTTTTATCATGTAAAGATATAAATTATTTGGATGTGATGATAATGCAAACGCATACACATGCACATGTTAGAAACCAAAGCAAGGGCAACATTTCCTTTTTTTGGGTACTATGGTATAGGACCCCTATGCATATAGTCATTACCTACTTTCTCATTGTGTGATTGTTGGTTATCCATTCTAATACTTTCTTTTAGGTTTATCAAAAAGTCTACTACCAAAACAACCTTAAACAATGAATGGCTAAACTTCTCTTTTGTTTCCCCAACACTATGGTAAATCATATCAAGCCTTATGATACATGTTTCCAACCATCACGATACTTCATACGATTAACATACTCAAGAATCAAGATCAATTTCTAAATCTTTCTATAAAGTTGAAAATTTGCAAACCACTCTTTACTGTTTTGTAGATTTCATTGTATTTATTTATTTTGTTATAAAAAAGGTTGTATTTAGAGGACCAAAAATTATACAATTTAACTTTGTCACATCCACGATTCAAACAAATTATATCTTAATATGCAAGTTAATGTGCTTAATAGGATGAGTGTGACATTTAAAAATCTTTCTTTTTTGAGTTGTTTGATTTCAGCAAAAAGAAAAAGGAAACTAGAAAAAATTAAGAAAAAAAAAATATTACAATCGAGTTGCAATCGATTGGATTGATAATTCTCCTTCGTCGATTTTAAAAAAAGGTTATAGGTGGTTTTTGTATGTCCGTGATATGGATGTTTCGGAAGTTCTGGAACAACGCCATAGTTTTTGTGGTCAAGGAGTTATGTAGAGAATTCATTTTTAAAAAGATTGTACTTGCTTCCTTTAATTGGTTTAACCATAGATTCAAGCTATATTTGACGTATTAACTGAAAAACTAGCTAATAGCTGAGAAACTAACTAATAAAAAATGACGTTTGGTAAAACTATTTGAAAAACTACCTTAAAATATAGAAAATTACATAAAAGGACATTTAAGAGTATTTGTTTATATAATTAAGTAAGGGGTATATTTGATTTTTTTAAAAAGCTCCTAAAAAACTAGTCTAAGGTTATGTTTTGCGTAAGAGCTGAAAAGCTAGCTGATAGCTGAAAAGCTACCTGTTAAATAAACAACTAGCTGATACCTGAAAAGCTAGCTGATAAAAAATGACGTTTGGTAAAACTAGCTGAAATATATAAAATTACATAAAAGAACAGGTAAGAGTATGTGTTTCTATAATTAATTAAATGGTGTATTTGGAAATTTTTAAAAAAGATCCTAAAAAGTTAGTCTAAGTAGCTTTTCAAAAAGCTAGCTTATAAGCTACTTTTTGGCTTACCAAACACAACAACATAAAAAAGCTTGAAAAATAAGCTAGCTTATCAGCTAGCTATGAGGCGCCAAACACGACAACATAAAAAAGCTCGAAAAAAAAGCTAGCTTATCAGCTGACGTCAACATAAAAAAACTCAAAAAATAAACTAGCTTATCAGGTAGCTATGACGTGACAAACACAGCCTGAAAAACCAAAATTTTAGTTGGGTTAACTGGTTGCAGTACCCGAAGTTGGCCATCACTTTGTAATCTCTTTTTGTCTTGCACCTTGTTACTAGTTGCTAAACCATTCCAACCAACAATCTTGCTCCCTTTTTGATCGAGAATTCAACTATATCACATTGAAAATCAAATCTACTAAAGGAAAATAAGAGTATACATGTACAATAAAAATAACGTGAAAGTAAACAATGCAGAATCAAACACAATAACTTATGTGCTTCGGTCAATATTTGAACTATCGAGCCAATAACATTTAATGAGTTTTTTGTTTAAAGTTCAGAAGTACAATGTATATGAACATATATGAGAATATATTTTTTTGAACATTAGTTAAAAAGGTCAAGGACTCGGTTGTTACCTGGACGATAGTGGGGATACCTTTATGTAACTTCCTATTAACTACCAAATGTTTCTCTTAACTTACCTTCTTGACATTAAAAAAACAAAAATGAGTGTGTTTGTGGTCCATGTTATTTGGAAAAACATAAGGTTACTTTATCTTCAAAAGATGAGTAAATTACACGAATTGCTCCTCGTGCAGGTACGGAAATGCACGTTTAGTCCTTATTTTCAAAAATTCACTCGGATTGTCCCTCGATAGTTTCAAACTTACATGCTTCATCCTTGAAACACAATTTTGTTGCGAACTTAGTCCATTCCAGATTTGAAATGACCATAATACCCTTATGTTTTTATTTTTCAATTAATTTGATTTTTATTATGATTTTCAATTAGAAAAAATAAAACCCCCAAACCTTCACTTTCCCCAACCTATCCACCACGTTTTAACTGTTAACGTAAGCACACACACATTCATAAGAAGGAAACAGGAGATCATCAACTTGTCGATGACCGGTCATCATCATCGTCTCCACCCTCCGGTGGTGGTGGTTTTGGCTGGGTTTTCTGGGGGAACTCTAGAAGTACCCTAACTCCCCCTTCTCGTTTCTCCACCTGCATCTGAAAAGGCGATCGGTCTGGTCATCATCATCACCATCGCCTCCAAGCCACCACCATTCTCCCCGCAAGCCACTGACTTCATCTGCAGGTTTCAGGCGAGGGCTAGGTTTTCCAAGCCACCATCGTCCAATCCATCGCCGCAAGCCACTAGCTCCACCATCACAAGTGAACGTCATAATTACCACTAAACTCCACCATCACCAAGTTTGAACCCGTCACAGATGGCCACTCCTTCTGGTGAATCACTCACCCATTTTCATCTCAAGCCCAATCTTTCACACCCTCACTCATAGATCTGCTCAATTTATTCACAATCATCAGTCGATTTATGCAAGTGGGTTTTCATATTTGAGGGGTAGGTTTTTCAATTTGAAGTGATTGGATTTTAAGGTTTGGGGTTTTAGATTTCTGATCGATTTTGAGATTTCTAGTTTTTCAGGTTTCAATTCTTGGTTTTCAGATTTGATTTGGTTTGGTTTGGTTGTCGGAAGTAGGCTGGTGGCCGGAGGTGGCTGGTGGTTGGGCATGATATTGTTGACCAACATTTCCGGTGACCTGGTTGAAGGGAGGGTTTAGGGCCATTTCTTTTTTAAAAGAAAATAATAATATTTTTTATAATAAAAAATCAATAAATAATTAAGAAATAACAAATAAATAGAAAATAAATCAAAAAAGAAATTAATAAGGGCAAAATGATATTGTTGACTAACAAGGGAGGGTCCGAGTTAATTTTTTAAAAATAGGGACTGAACGTGCATTTTGACACCTGCACGAGGGACGATTCGTGTAATTTACTCTCAAAAGATTGACATGTAAATATTTTGTTATATTATATATACATATTCGACTTCAACAACATCCCTTATTAATTAGAGAAATTAAATATTTTTCTGTTTGAGCTGTGTTTGGCGCGCCACATGATAAATTAACTTATTTTTTGAGTTTTTTAAGTTGTTATGTTTGGCGAATCAAAAAACAGTTTATAAACTAATTTTTTAAAAAGCTATTTAGACTGACTTTTTAAGAGGTTTTTTTTTTCAAAATATACCCTTAGTTAATTATAAAAACGTATTCTTTTAAATGCCATTTTAAGTCATTTTATATTTTTCAATTAGTTTTCCAGCTATTTTTACCGAACGACATTTTTATCGGTTAACTTTTTATTCAATAGTTAGATTTTTAGCTATCAGCTAGTATTCAAACATAGACTAATTATTAAGTAAATTTTGTTGGCACGTTGTGGAAGGTAACTATAACATAATATGTTATAAAACTATTTCCTTGTTTATGAACCGTATGTATTTAATTCCATTTCTATTAACATAAATAAAACCAAGAAAAGTAACAAGTGAGTACTTTATTATAAAACAAAAGAAAAAGATATGTTAATTCCGTTTGTTTTCCTTCTTTTATTTAGGTCACTTTTGACGATGGTTGGACCTTTTTTATTTTTTATTTGGATTTAATACATTAGAAAATTAGATAAATTCAATTTTTAACATACATTTGGTTTTTAATTAATAAAAATTTGCCAAATAACAGTTATTGTGATAACGTGTTAGGATTTTGTTTTCATAGCTAGCAAAACATTTTTAAGTCATGTTACTTATTATATAAAAATGTAAAACAAATAATATAAGCGTTTTTTTTTCCTTAAAATTCTGTTTCTCCTCTCCCTTCATTATCGCCGTTCTATAGGTTTGTATAAAAGCTCTTTTTCCCAAATCACTGATTTTATACCAAAAACAATGCTACACTCGTCATCTCCAACAAACAAACCCTATCATCATAATTACGAACAATTTTCCAAATAACCCATTTGAAATTCTTGGTTTTTCTTCAGAAAATGGAGAAACCCGATGTGGGTTTCGAAATCCGGCGTCGATTTCTTCCGTTCATCCTGATTATCTCGTCTGTTTCAGTCATCAACGTCCACTCTCAGTCGAGTTCTAACGATGCTGCTGTAATGCAGGCTCTAAAGAAAAACCTACAACCACTGAGTTCACTCGACTGGTCCGACCCCAATCCATGCAACTGGAACAATGTCAAATGCTCCAAAGACAACCGGGTCACCGGAATTCAACTCGGACACCAGAATCTCAAAGGCAATCTCCCTCAAACCCTTAATAACCTCACTCAACTCCAGGTTTTGGAGTTTCAACACAATCAACTCACCGGGCCACTCCCGAGTCTCTCTGGGTTGACTCAGCTCCATAACCTCTTACTCAATAACAACAATTTCTCTTCAATTCCCATCGACTTCTTCGACGGTATGTCCTCTTTGCAGAACATTTATCTTGATTACAATGCTTTTACTGCATGGTCTATATCGGAAAATCTAAAAACTGCATCCAATTTACGAATGTTCTCGGCCACCTCTACTAATCTCACCGGAAAAATCCCGGATTTTTTCGGTGCTGATACTTTCTCCGGGTTAATTACTCTTCGTTTAGCTTCGAATTCTCTTGAAGGCAGGTTACCGGATTCGTTTTCGGGTTCTTCAATACAGAGTCTTTGGTTAAATGGACAGAAAAGTACTTTTAGGCTTAATGGTAGCATCGACGTTCTACAAAACATGACACAATTGACTGAAGTGTGGCTTCATACAAACTCCTTTTCGGGTCCTTTACCTGATTTTTCAGGCTTGAACAAGTTACAGAATTTAAGTTTAAGAGATAATAGCTTCACAGGTCCCGTGCCACCATCTTTGTTAAGTTTGAAGTCTTTAAAAACCGTCAATTTGACCAAGAACATGTTACAAGGTCCAACGCCTAAATTCAATGATTCCGTTGCTGTAGACATGATCGGAATCGAGAGTTTTTGTTTGCCTAATCCCGGAGTTCCTTGTGATTCCCGTGTCAATACGTTACTTACAGTGGCGGAATCAGTAGGTTACCCTCGAGTTTTTGCTAATAATTGGAAAGGTAACGATCCTTGTAATTCATGGATGGGAATAAGTTGTTCAAACGATGGAAGCATCACTGTCGTTAATTTCCGCAAAATGGGTCTCACGGGTACCATTTCATCAAACTTTTCTCAAATTAAATCGTTACAAAGATTGCTTCTTGCAGATAATAATCTCACTGGAGTTATACCCAATGAACTCAAAGATTTACCTAATCTTATTGAAATAGACGTCTCAAACAATCATCTTTCCGGTCAAATCCCATCTTTTAGAGAAAACGTTAAGGTAAAAACTGAAGGAAACACCAACATAGGGAAAGATGATCCTACTGTTACAGCGATTCCACCTTCTAATGGTGTATTGGGCAGTGGCGGCACTAGTGGCAAAACTCCGGGCACTCTGGTGGTTGTGGGGTCTGTGATCGGTGGTGTTTGTGTGGTTTTCTTGGCTGGATTGTTAGCTTTTTGTGTTTACAAAGCAAAAAAGAATCGTTCTAGTTCTAATGGTCCCGGTAATCCGCCATGTCAGCATACAATGGTGATACACCCTCGCCACTCGGGATCCGATGGCGACGGGTTCAAAATCACGATTGCTGGTCAAACTAACGCCGGCGGGTCAACCGAAACAAATAGTCATCATACAAGTGGCGACGTTCACATCGTTGAAACGGGCAATATGGTAATTTCAATCCAAGTTCTAAGAAACGTAACGAACAACTTCAGCCCCGATAACATCCTCGGAAAAGGCGGATTTGGAACGGTTTACAAAGGGGAATTACACGATGGAACCAAGATTGCGGTCAAAAGAATGGAATCAGGAGTCATGAGCGAAACCGGAATCACCGAATTCCAATCCGAGATCTCCGTGCTCACCAAAGTCCGGCATCGGCATCTCGTCGCCCTTCTCGGATATTGTTTGGATGGAAACGAGAGGTTACTTGTGTATGAATATATGCCTCAAGGGACACTTAGTCGGTTTCTTTTTAACAAAGGAAATGAAGATTTGAAACCACTTTTATGGTCTAAAAGATTGGTAATTGCTCTTGATGTTGCTAGAGGTGTTGAATATTTACATGGTTTAGCACAACAAAGTTTTATTCATCGTGATCTTAAACCTTCTAATATTCTTTTGGGCGATGATTTTCGTGCAAAAGTTGCGGATTTTGGACTCGTTCGCCTCGCCCCAGATGGTAAAGGCTCCATTGCTACTAGATTAGCGGGGACTTTTGGCTATCTTGCACCGGAATACGCAGGTATAATTATAATAATTATTATAATTAATTAATCAATCAATCCGCTATCTTGCACCTGTTTCTTTGTTAAGTCGTTCTTTCTCTTTCTGTACTGAGTTTATAGATAACAAATTGCGGAAAGGATAATAAATGACGATTTTACCCTTGTGTTTCAGTGACGGGTCGGGTGACAACGAAGGTGGATGTGTTTAGTTTTGGGGTGATCCTCATGGAGCTAATAACGGGGCGACAAGCACTGGATGAAACCCAACCGGAAGAAAGTGTGCATCTGGTTCAATGGTTTAAAAAAATGCATATAAACAATGATACATTTAGAAACGCGATTGATCCATCACTTGAGCTTGATGAAGATGGTTTAGCCAGTGTGACCACAGTGGCTGAGTTAGCGGGTCACTGCTGTGCCCGTGAACCGTATCAGAGACCCGACATGAGCCATGCGGTCAATGTTCTGTCATCTTTGGCTGAGCTATGGAAACCGTCTGAACCAGATCCTGATGATGTTTATGGAATTGATCTGAATACAAGTTTGTCTCAAGTGGTTAAGAAGTGGCAAGCGATGGAGGGAATAAGTGGGTTTGATCATTCAATTGGGAATACACAAACGAGTATTCCGATTGGGCCTTCTGGGTTTGGGGATTCGTTTATGTCGCATGAGGGAAGGTGAGATTTTATTAGTTTTTTAATTGGTTTGTTTGTTTATTCTTTTTGATGCTTTTTATTTAGTATTTATCGTTTGTTTGATTATCAACCTCATCATGAACATTTTGGAGTTGGTTTGATTTGATATTTATGAAAAGGGTGTCGTAAGTTACTTGTTTACTTTTATCTTTGGTGCTAAAATTACGAGAGGTGATTCTAATTACTCTTTGGATTATCTGGATGTTTTGAAACAAATTCTTTTTAGAGATTCAAGATGAGAAAGGATTCTTTATTTGTTGCAATTACTTCGATTCCTTTTGGGTGGGTTTCTAATAGATGTATAAAATTAGAGGCTTTTCGATTATTCCACTAAATAAATTGATGCATCAAGATAAATTATATATATCATTGATTTGTATGATAGCTGTTAGGGTTAGGGTGTTGTATTTTATATGGATGGAGTTGAAGAATCACCGCTTATTAGCTAGATTGGATTAAAAATTAGAGTTAATGTTATAAAAGTCCTTAATCTTTGCCTTCAATTTGCAATTTACCATAACATTTCTTTTGTTACTCTATTATCATTACTTTTGAGAAAACGTTTTATTTCTTACGTTTTAAAAGGATACTTTTTAAATGGATACTGCTGACATGGCGGTTTCGCTACATCAGTTTTGCATTGAATTGCTTGAATTGTTGGTGTGGCATGCTGATTAGATCGTTCAAGTCAACCCAAGTGAAAAAAAAAGAGCTAGAACAGGTGGGTGTTAGGGTAAATTACACGGATGGTCCCTGTGCTTTATGCTAATCTGTGTCCTTAGTCCTAACAATTTTTTTTTGACCCGGACCATTCCTAAAATTTATTTTTGTTTCAAATTTAGTCCCTGATTGACTTAAAATGACTAATATACCCTTATAGATTTTTTTTAAGAAAATTCTAATGATTTATTTGTTTGTTATTACTATAAAATAAATATTAAAAAAATAAAAAATCCTAAGCCTAATATCCTTCTCTCTCCCATGCTGATACTCAGCCTTCAACTCCTTCAAATCAGGCTCTCTATGGCCGCCTCTCATTCTCTTCTTCCTGTCATGTCTCTGGCGACCATCTCTCTACAACCACCTCCTTTTCGACCATTACGCTGCCACCTCCGTTCGACCTACTATTTCCCTCCCACACCCTTCCTATTCCTTCATCGTGAATAACATCGATTTATGGAAATCGATTTCTCACGGGTCCAGAAGGCTGCCAATGGAAAAACTACACTCCAATATGCTTCCCTAGATCACGTCGCATTCGTCGTGGTTGTTTTCGACGAACTGAAATCAGAAACCAAGAGAACTATCATTTATCTCGCTCTCTCAATTCCTCTCTTCTCATCCTCTGTTCTCTAACCTAATCTCGAAACCATAACAGAAAAAAAAATTTGTTTACAGGTTGAGTGTGTAAAAAATGATTTTTACAGGCTGTGTCGATTGGGTTTATAACTACATAAAAATGGAATTGCTTTAGCCGTTGGTCACTAGCAGGAGAGGTTTAGGGTTTAGACAGGAGTTGGTAGTGGTGGTGTTCGCCGGTGGGCATGAATTGGTGGCCTGATCTACAAATCGATGGTGTTGGGGATCTGCAAATCAACGCCTGTGTAGTGTACGCCGTCAGAAACAAACTCCCACCCATGTTAAACGTTCTCCAGCGATAACATAGATGTCGGTGAAGCTCCGAACACCGACCCATAGTCGATTGTCGTTTTTTTTACTGATCCGACATCGATGGGTTGCAGGTCAGACAACGAAGGTTGAAGATCTGTCGCCGAGGTGGGTCTGTGAGATTGTAGATGGTGGTGCATGACCAACTGCCGAAGGTAATTGTGGTGTCTCCGATGAGACGAGAGAAGAGAAGGACAGATATATCGTCGGTGTGAGAATAAAGATAGGCAAAGATCATGTGTGTGACCTAGTCTTTAATATGTTGTGGCCCACTTAAATTTATATTAGTAGAGAATAAAACAATAATAAGAAACAAAAAAAATTTATACATAAGGGTATAACAACCATTTTATATATGATAGAGACTAGACCCGAAACAAAACTAAATAATAGGATGGTCCGAGTTAAAAAAGTTGTTAGGGACTAACGATGCAGATTACCATAAACCATAGGGACCATACGTGTAATTTACCCTATATGTTATAACTAATTTGCGACGTGGGCTATTCGCATGATAAGGGTTACGAGGCTTGCATCTTTGCCAATGAGCTAAGGGTGTGTTTGGGATTGTTTTTTAAACATAAAAGTATTTTTTGTAAAAGAAACTTTTTCTAAAAGATGGTGGTTAAAATGTGTTTGATTTGCCTTTTATGACTTTTAAGTGATAAAAGCTAAAAGTCACAAAAAGATAGAAATTCCTATCTTTTCTCCAGCCAACTTTTCCTTCTCGACTAAAAGTTGATTTTAAAAGATCTTTTCAATTTGCCAAACAACTTTTAGTAATTTTAACTTTTTAAAAAAGTTAAAAGTATTAAAAAGGAATCCTAAACACCCTCTAATAGTGTGTTTGAAATTTCATTTTGAAATTAAAAATGATTTTTTTGCCAAAAATGACTTATTGACCTACGAAAGTGAAAAAATGAGTGTTCAAAAAAGTGTTTGGATTTAGTGGGAAAAGTCAATAAGTCAAAATTTTAAAAAGTGTTTGATTTAAAATTGTCTTTTATTTGTTTTTTATTACAATAAGTTATAAGTCATTTTAAAAAGTCACAATTTGTTACTTCTTGAAAACTTCTTTTCGAATATTAAACAAAAAAGAGTTTTAAAAGTCCTTATTAAGTATTAAAACACTTTTTATTTTTAACTAGTTGACTTTTCAAGAAGTAAATAAGTTAATAACGAATATTTAGATGAACACCCAAACACCTTTACGTTTTAAAATTTTCAAATTTGATTCAACTAACCAAGAAGGTGGGAATTACAATGCATCCAAATCCAATTTTTTCCCCATTTTAATAGGGGACTGAACCAATATTTTAGAATACAAATGGTGTAAATGATCTGCATTTTAGAATATAAAAAAACTTAACATGGACAGTAGTTTTTGGTATGATAGACTTGTAGTCATGTTAAAAGAAATGGATTAAAGGGGCGTACCACACATATGTCCTCTGAGGCTGATGGGTGTGGACAACATGTTATTACATATTATCACATCCAAGTGTCCACCCCATCATCCTACTCATACTATTGGTGTTATAACATCTAATGTGGAAATTGACAACACCAAATAACATGTAATAACACCTATCATTTTCTATTTAATTTTTATTTTTTTCGATGTTTGTAATTTCAATTTTTCTATGTTGTTTTATTTTTTTAATTTATGTCATAATAATTTTAAAAAACATATAAATTAAATAACACATAATTAAAATAAATACTAATTAAAAACTACATTACAGCGAAAAAAAAATAAAAACGACATTACAACAAAAAAAAACATTGACCGAAAAAAAAACATTGACAAAAAAAAAACATTACAACGAAAAAAAAACACTAATCTTCGTCTAAATATTTGTGCTCGATCTTCGCCTTCATTTTTCGGAGTACCTCCAACTGTCTCGGTGGCAAATGATCCCGTTGCAACTCATATCTTTTACGTGCGATTTCGTTGTGATTGTCAAAAAAAAAAATTTCATTTCGGCTTGCTCTCGACGTCTATTTTCGGCTTCATCCGCGTGTCGTTGAGCACGCCTCGCTTTGTCGCGGCCTATCGGTCGTCGAGGCGGGGAGATCTCTTCAAGGTCGTTCAAGTCGTCCGGTATCTCATCCGTGTCCGCATTGAGGTCGATGTTCGTGCGTGCGTCCGAAACATCGACCGAACCCGAGCCGCATGACCTCTTCGATTGTTGTTCCGTAAATGTGTCCGTTTTATTCCATTTTGAGTCTTCCTTGACAATTTCCCAAATTTTTCCGTGCTAAAAAACGTGACCGGTCTCGACATGATATTGCTCCCTCGCCGCTTTATAAACGTCAAAATCGGTCGCACCACTTTGCTTGTGCGAGGAAAGTTTGTTGTAGACGGAATTGAACTTGGTGTACTTCTTGCTTATTTGAGTCCATTTGCTACTAAACATGCCGTGATTGCGGTACTTTTTATCTTTATTCAAAATGGTACGAAATTTCCCGATCACGGCTTCCCAAAAAGCAACTTTTCGCATATCGTTTCCTTGCGTTGGATTTTTTGATGTCATGCACCAAGCCACCGCCAACGCGTATTCCTCCTCCGCGGTCCACCATGTTGGAGGTTCGTCTTCTGATTGCTCCACCGCAACCGCTTTCCCTTTCCTTTGTGCTCTCCCTTTTTAAATCGTCCCCCCCCCCCCCCCCCCGGACTTGCATCTCAGGTACCGTTTGTTGGGTGGGTGGTGATTGTGTGGTATTTTGTTGCATTGTAGCAAATGGGCTGAAAAGGTTTTGTGGAAGGTTTGTAGGGAATTGTGGTGGGGTGAGGCGGGATTTAAAAGTTGCATTGACTGTTGAGGATGTTCGCGTACATTTCGTATTGTGCAAAACCGAGAGGCGGATGTGTATGTGTTTGGAGGAGGAGTGTTGGGGTTTTGATCCATAGTATTCAATAGAGAATTTTTTTGAAGATTTGAAATATGGTTTGATATGAGATAAAAAAAATAAGGTAGATGTATATGTATATATAGGTGTAAAAGAGGTAAAAAGATTGATTTTTTTTGACCGTTTTACAACGGTACAAAATCGAAATGTATACGTTGGAATTGAATTTGCATCGAAAAAATTGCCGTTTTCAAGCGATACCATAACGTGTAATAACGCATGTAGGGTGCGGTGTTTCAGGCGTTATAACGTCGTTTTTGCTAGTCCACGCCAGAATAACGGCAACTGCCGTAGCCCACTCCTAGCCGTCTGATAGCTTTGCCACTGCCAACATCTCATGGTGATTTTCGTCTTAGAGAACACCTAGCACCCAAATACCGTTTTCCTCACATCTACCTATTTGACCAGGTTTTATATATTTTAAGTGATGGGATCTTTTTTTTTTCGATTCGTTGGTCCTCTTGACTCTTTCTTTTCTCTAAATTTATGTCGACAATAAGATAATTTTGATCATGTGTATTAATTATGGATGCCGTCTTATA